GTGCTGGCGATGCCGTCCGACGCGCACGGCGAGAGCAGAGGCGGCTCGGGTGCGTCCTCGGAGGTGGTGCCGATCATCGCGGTGCCGGAGAGGGGGGGGCTCTTCAAAAAGAGGTCCCCGACCGAGAGTCCCGAGCTGGACGACGCGGAGTGAGAGTGTGGCGCCTCCCTCGCGCCTCGGGCGGGGAGGGGAGAGTGTCGTGGCGGGGCGCCGGGCCTGATCCCCGGCAGTACTGGTTTGATATAGCACGGAGTCCTCTCGCTCCAGTGCAGTACGGAGTGTGTGTCGCATCGCATTTCAGTGATGCCCCAAAAGTCTGAAAAAACAGCACACTCAATGAAGAGAGAGGAACACATTGAGTGGCTGAGGAAGCTCTTCACTGGGTGGAAAGAGGCTCGGCCGGCCTTGAGAGGGAGTCGCGGAGGAGGAGGGATAACGCAGGCAACGCAGGGACGGGCCAACAGCCAGTGGGACGAACGAGGGCCGCGACGGCGGCTCAAGCGGGAGGGAGCGGAGACGGTGGGCAGCGAGCGAAGTGGGTGAGACTGATGATGCTCCTTCGACTTAGGGAGCGGTTCAGCTGCTGGGCGGGCTTCAGGCTGGTGCTCACGCGAAAAGGAATCGACGCGATGTGCAAAGCATACAAGAAGGGGACAAGGAAGAGGAGAGACGCCAGTGATGACGAAGCAGAAACTAGCGCAGACGAGAGCAGGGCAGAGCCGGGGACTGGGGAGCCGGAGCAGACGGCATCGGCCGCCGAGGGAACGTTGGGAAGAGGCACGAGGAGGGCGGCGACCTCGACCGACTATGGAGGACCCGTCGCCAGACGACGCAGGGCAGAAGACGGTGAGGCGGAGCAGACGCGCAGGGCGAGACGAGGGAGGGAGCAGGACTTTGCGGAGATCAGCAGGAGGATGTACGAAGAGATTAGGAGCAGCAGGGACCCGAGGGACCATGTGGAAGACGTCACAATCGCCTGGGCCAGCCTCTCGTGGGACGCCAACAAGATCAACACCGCGTTCCCGCTCACCTGAGGCACTGGCGCCAACTTAGCACCGTGGTGGTTTAACTAGCTCCCGTAGTTATGTCCTGGCTAGCTCCCGTGGCGGTTCTTTCTCTTGTGGTTTATGTGTTGTGTCCACCGCGGGGGTTATGTCCTGACTCCTCAGGACATAACTCCTGACGTGAGCGGTGAGCTCGTGAGGTCTGCCGTGGGCGGCCTCGAGCGCCCGGCGCGTCTCGTGCCACGCCGTTTTTTTCTCGTTTTTAGACAATTAGGAATTCCTACCCCGTCTTCCAATATCGTCGAGCACATCGTTTTATTTTTCAACGGCGCTCCCCCTGCTGAGTGTTCCCTTCCCCTCTTGATATACGACCGCTGCTCCTCCCTCGCCGCCCGGGATCCACTTGCCGCCTCTGCTCACGGACCACAGGGGCCGCACAGCCCCATGTCCGTGCCTCGCGCACACCGCTGGGACATCGTGAAGGCACTCCCGCTTGTCCTCGCCGTCCTCGCCGGCCTCGGCCTGCTTTCGCGACACCGGCACTCTCCGCGAGCGGCCGTGGCTGATTTGGCGCCGGTGGAGGTGGTGGCCGTGGTGATAGCCTCCAACGGCTACACCGCAAACTACACCATCAACACGCTCCTCACGGCGGGCCGGTGGGAGGGTCCTATCTACGTCGTCGGAGAGCACTGCGAGCGGCGGGTCGCGCCGGGCGAAGCCGACGCCGCGGGCTGTGCGAGCGAGACGTGGCAGCGGCCAGACCTGCTGCCCGCTGGCGCGCCGTCCCGGGCGCTGGGCGCAAAGGCGATCAAGACGCGCCTCCTCGACGTGGCGGTGGGCGCGAAACGGGTCCTCTACCTCGACTCCGACATCCTCGTGCGCAGAGCCGCCAGACACAGACATACAGATAAACATGCATATTGTCCAGCTGTGTACCATCGCACCACATCAGTTGCACTTGCACAGCGTTCTGCTGTGTATTCGTGTACGCGCAGCCCCCTTTTAGCATCCAAGCGGCGGAGGCGCGTCGTCTTCTTTTCTTTGTCTCGCAGGTGCAACGCCCACTCGCGACGTCCGCCTTTGGCGCGCTGCTGCGGCGGCGCGACGCGTGGAGCCCGGGCTGCGAGGCGTACTTTGAGCGCGAGCGGACCTTTGTTCGGCAGCGGCGCGCGTTTGCCGCCGGCGAGCCCGCGAATAAATGCAATGGGGTGTTCGTCGTGAGCGGAATGAAACTGATGAGCAGGCACGCTCCCGCCACCGGCGTGCCGGCGGCGCGGTACGACTTGCCCTACTGGTGCTCTGGCACCTTTGTGCTCGATGTGGGGCAGTCGAGGGGGCTCCTCGACACGTGGCGCGAGGAGATCCTGTCGGGCAAGGAGCGTGTGTGCCGTGATCCCCATCACACCTCCCCACATCTCCCCAAGCATACATGCTCTCCCCGTTGATCGGTCCCGTCTCTCTCCCCCCACATGTCTCCTCATATATCATCGCCTCCCGCGCCCCCTGCACTAGGATACAACACCCAGCCCCGTGTAGAGCCCCGGCTTCATTGCCCGGGACGGCTACCCCCCCCCCCCCTGGGCCCTGGGGACTCGCTCTCATACCTCCCCTTCACCCTAGTTAACCCTGTCGCTCGACCAACACGCGCTCTACACATTATTGTTGCTGTGTTAATACTACTGTCATGATTACCATTCTCATTGTCGGGGACGAAGGTGTCGCTCGATCAGCACGCGCTGCACCGCGCCGTCGCGCGCGGGTACATCCCCCCCCCCCTCCTGCTTATAACTAAACTATTGGCCGCCATCAGTCGTCCACAACCAAGACGTCGCCTCTCGACCACGTCTCATAGGCACGCCGTCTGCCCGCTGCCCGACGACACGCGCTACGTCAAGGACCTCGAGGGCGCGCTGCGTGGGCTGCTGCACACGCGCACCCTGCTGCACTTCCAGACCGCAAAGGCGTCCCTGCCAGACTACTGTGCGGCGCGGCGGGGAGGGTGCTCTGCGCCGGCGACGGCGACGGCGCAGCAGATTGTTCGCGTCGACGTGAGCGCGCCCCCCCCCGGGACTGGGAGGAGGCCTCCTGAGAGTGGGCGAGGATAACGCAACGCAACGCAAACGTTTCGTGATCGTGTAAGGTAGTACGTAAACTTCTCGTCCACACACACACTCACAAACACTCACAAACTCACAAGGTGGTGCCTAGGCGTAGCAGGGTGGTTCTAAGTGGGGCAAGGGGGGCGACCCTCGTGTGTGAACCCCGAATGAACCGTGTACGTAAAACTACGTTATGAAAAGTCAAAACGGGCAGGTCACCTTCACTCTCATCCTTCGTCGTCGTCGTGAGGTGATGGTGAGGGGTTGTGCTGCCAAAAGCTCCTCGTCGCAAACCCCGTCAGCAGTCCTCCTCCGGGAATGTACGTAAGAGCTACATACACTGAAAAAGATGGCGCGCCAACGTACTCGTCGCCCTGAATGGTTGGGCAAGTTGTGGAGGACACGATCCCGGCGTGAACACGACTAACTGGCGGATCCGCTCCTGACAGTCGCACGCGCCGCGCTGCGGCGCGTGCGACTGTCTTTGTTTGAAGTTAAAAGTCGAATCAGAGCGCCGTCGGCGTTGTCCTCCATTTTCCTCCCCTGGGCCGCCGTCCGGGACCGCTCCGGGACGCACGCCGGCGAAGCACCATCAAGCTGTTGTACGGCCCCGGCATCGCCTTCCCAGGCTTAGCTAGACTGAGAGATATTGTGCATACGGTCTGTCTCTACAATAAACTCACTGACACTCCACCTCCCAGAGCTCGTCCCGGTCCATCACGGCCATCCTCGTCCTCGGAGGGCCCCCGGCCGCCGCGGCGCGGTGCGGCGGCGTCACAAATCCGACCACAGAGCACCGGGACGCGGTCGGGCGATCTGAGGTCCAACTAGGCGTACGAGCGAGGGTTCTGCTCACATTGCTCCTCCCGCCTCTGACCTGACAGCCCCGGTTCCTCCCTCAGGCGGGGACGCGTCTGGCGGCGCATGACGGCGTTGCAGACGACGACAATATGCTCTAGGGTGGGGGAGAGGCTACCCGTGCGCGTGGAACAAACAAAAGTTCAACCATGTGTCAGTGCACCCAGTATGGCTTCATTCACGATTCGCGCGTGGGGGTGTGTGCTTGATGCGTGGTGGACGAGCGGCGTGTGGAGAGGTACGGTAAGGTCAATTCTCCACACCGCACACAAAGTGGTGTGGGGCGGCGGGGTATCCCGCCACTGTCTCATACGACCGAGAGTCTTGTGGGTTGGGCATATCCATAGCGGGATCTTGGAGCACTTGGAGTGCAGTTATCGCAAGCCTCACATGTCATCCGGATCGGTCACGATTGTTGCGAAATCGCCGGTTTTCGCTATGCAAACTAGTTACGCAACGAAGGAGACTTCTTCGCCGAGGCCCGAGCCAGCCCGAAGAGCCCGACTCACACATCGCTTAGGCGGCTCCCGTGGTGTACCTGTGTTAGTGCCAGTGCGCGCCAGTCCCGTGCCCAGTGTTGTGCGAGGGAGTTTTGTTGTAAAATTCTTTTCTCAGTTCGCACCTGTGTCCCTGTCTGCGTGAGAGAATTCTTTTAATTCTTTTCTTCGCGATGTCCACCCCGCCGCGCCGCCGCTCGCGCCGCCTCGCCGCCGCCTCCGCCGCCGCCGCGTCCTCGCCGAACACGCCGCCGCCCGCCCGCCTCCTCGACCTCCCCACGGAGCTCCTCGTGCGCGCCCTCTCTCGCTGCGACCCCGCCGACATCGCTTGCGTCGCGGCCGTCTCGCTCCTCTTCCACGCCTCGCTTGCGCTGGAGGCCATCCGCTTGTGGGCGCGAGAGCGCGGCATCGAGCTGCCGGCGCAGCCGGAGGGCGAGGGCTGCGCCGTGCGGTGGCTGTGCTTCGCCGCATTGCTGTGCGAGTCCAACCCGCCGGCGAGGGCGGCGGCAGGCATGTGGCACAGCGTCTTCATCGACGGCGAGGGGCGGCTCTCGTCGTGCGGCTCCGCGCAGTCCTCTCTTCCAGGGCTCCTCGGTCACGGCGAGGGTGTGACGCGGCTCAACACGCCGACCCGCCTCCCTTCTTCCCCGCTGGGCGAGGAGCGCGTCGTGAGCGTGTCGGCTGGAGAGAGGCACAGCCTCGCCCTCACCCCTGACAGTGCCGTCTGGAGCTGGGGCTATGGAGCCTGGTGCGTGCTGGGTCACGGCGGCGAGCAGAACCAGCTGTTGCCCAAGAAGATCGAGGCCTTTGCGGGCCAGAGCATCGTCGCTGTGTCGGCTGGAAGCAGCCACAGCCTCGCCCTCGCCGCCGACGGCGCCGTCTGGAGCTGGGGCCGTGGACACCCTGGCGTCTTGGGCCACGGCGACGAGCAGAACCAGCCGCTGCCCAAGAAGGTCGAGTTGTTGGCTGACCAGCGTGTCATCGCTGTGTCGGCTGGAGCCGAACACAGCCTCGCCATCACCGCCGACGGAGCCGTCTGGAGCTGGGGCTTTGGAGGCTCTGGCCAGCTGGGCCACGGCAACCAGCAGCACCAGCTGCTGCCAAAGCAGGTCGAGGCCTTTGCTGGCCAGCGTGTCGTCGCTGTGTCGGCTGGAGGCGAACATAGCCTCGCCATCTCCGCCGACGGCGCCCTCTGGAGCTGGGGCTTTGGAGGCGACGGCCAGCTGGGCCACGGCGACGGGCAGGAGCAGCGGCAGCCGAAGAAGGTCGAGGCCTTGGCGGGGCAGCGCGTCGTCGCGGTGTCGGCTGGATTGGCTCACAGCCTCGCCCTCACCGCCAACGGCGCTGTCTGGAGCTGGGGCTGGGGAGGCTTTGGCAAGCTGGGCCATGGCGACCTGCAGGACCAGCTGCTGCCCAAGAAGGTCGAGGCCTTCGCTGGCCAGCGCGTCATCGCTGTGTCGGCGGGATGCGATCACAGCCTCGCCCGCACCGCCGACGGCGCTGTGTTTACCTGGGGCAAGGGCGGCGACGGCTGCCTAGGCCACGGAGAGGACCTGTCGAACCAGCTGCTGCCCAAGAAGATCGAGGCGTGGGCGCCAGGGCAGGGATGAGAAGGGCGAAAGGGTGCCAGCAGGCTCTGTGTTGGTGACTCTGGGTTTTTCTTCTTTATAACGAGAGGCGACGAGTGAACTGCAGGTAGTTGGGAAGGCAGCCTCGATTGCCGTACAGACATGGGTGCGGAACCGAACGACCAAGACCACAAGGTCTCCAAGGCGCACCGGTTTGACACTACTCGCGAGACGCGAGTCGCGAGTACCATGCAACTCCATACACAGAAACGCACACACTGTCGCTCGAGCTGCTGCGCTCGCACACTCAGGCATGCCGTACCGTACGAGCCACCTCACGACTCTGCATGGTCGAGCACATCACCCTACCCTAACTCTAGCCGCCTCCGGAGACCGCGAGCGGCCTCCTACCTCACAAGCGGAAGTTGCCACACCGCACCGGCGCTGCTATCAGACTCGGAGAGGAAGGAGAGAGAGGAAGTGTACAGGAAGTCTCCGGACGGACGAGCTCTCCTTTGGCCGAGCGGCGACGGTCACCTCCCTCCCGAGATCCACCCGAGATCCACCCGAGATCTACCGGAGATCCACCCGAGATCTACCCGAGATCCACCCGGGGCCAGCACCGACGGATGGCGGCGACGGGCCGGATGGCGGCGATGGGCCGCCACCGTCGCTGCGTCCCTCGACACCGATATGTGCGGCGGGGAGCCGCCGTCGCTGCCTCCCTCGCCGCCGGACTACAGCGGCGGGCCGCCGCCCCCCTCGCCGCAGAGCGGCGATGGCACGCGCAGCTCGTCGGCCCACAAGGCGCGCCTGGACAGTTCCGAGAAGGTTCGTCTCCGTGTGGGGAATACCTCGGCTACATCTCGCTATACCTCGGCTGCATCTCGGCTGCATCTCGGCTGCAACTCGCATCAGCTCGAGGATGCACGTCCGCGACTGTATCTCGGCAGTATCTCGGCTATATCTCGGCTATATCTCGCATCAGCTCGGGGATGCACGTCCGCGACTGTATCTCGGCAGTATCTCGGCTTTATCTCGGCTATATCTCGCATCAGCTCGGGGATACACGTCCGCGAAGCCGCGATGAAGTTCTGGAGGCTGGAGTAGAAGGGCTCGCTGTTGTGCAGGTCCTTGCACGCAACCTCAAAGTCCGCGTAGCTGGAGGCGTTGCCGCGCGGGTACAGCTCCGCGCCGCACGACGGCGAGAGGGCGCCGCAGAGCGGCGCGTTCGGGTCCGCACTGGACGGGTCAAAGGCCTGGTCGACGCACTGTCCGATGGCAGGCACGAACTCGAGCAGACCCCCCCCGAGGGACTGCTCCCCCCACGACTGCAGCAGCGCGGCCTAGAAGGTTCCGAGACGGTTCCGAGAAGGCTCCGAGAAGGCTCCCCCCACGACTGCAGCAGCGCGGCCTAGAAAGTTCCGAGACGGTTCCGAGAAGGCTCCGAGAAGGCTCCCCCCACGACTGCAGCAGCGCGGCCTAGAAGGTTCCGAGACGGTTCCGAGAAGGCTCCGAGAAGGCTCCCCCACGACTGCAGCAGCGCGGCCTAGAAGGTTCCGAGACGGTTCCGAGAAGGGTCCGAGAAGGGTCCCCCCAACGGCTGCAGCAGCGCGGCCTAGAAGGTTCCGAGACGGTTCCGACAAGGCTCCGAGAAGGCTCCCCCCGACGACTGCAGCAGCGCGGCCTAGAAGGTTCCGAGACGGTTCCGAGAAGGCTCCGAGAAGGCTCCCCCCACGACTGCAGCAGCGCGGCCTAGAAGGTTCCGAGACGGTTCCGAGAAGGGTCCGAGAAGGCTCCCCCCAACGACTGCAGCAGCGCGGCCTAGAAGGTTCCGAGACGGTTCCGAGAAGGGTCCGAGAAGGCTCCCCCCAACGACTGCAGCAGCGCGGCCTGGCCGATCGTGTAGACGGCGCACGCAAAGCCGAGCACAGCCATGCCGTACAGGAGGACGCGCCTGTTCACAGCCGGAGGTGTGAAGAGACGCTGTTCACAGCCATGCCGTACAGGAGTCCGACGCGCCCTGCGAGCGCGGCGGAGCAGAGCGAGAGCGACGCCCTGAACTCGTCGGCCCACAGCGCCCGCACCTCGCGGCGGGGACCGTAGTTGACGTGCATCTCGCAGGCCGCGAGGAGGAGGGCGCCTAGAAGGGTCCAGGAAGGGTCGCGGAAGGGTCCCGGAAGGGTCCCCTCCAGGCCGC